AATAAGAAATTGTTGAAATTTAATCTCCAGACAAAAATGGGTAAAAACTTTTGTATTTCACTTCTCTTTCTTCTTCTTATTTCAACTGATTTTTTCGTAGAATTTATAATATTATGTGAAGAATGTATTGTAAAGACTTTTTTCATCACTTATTTATTATCAGTATTTCATAAATCATTTTCTAATCAATATATTCTAGTGAAAGGGAATTAAATAAATATATATAACAAAACTCTCTCTCTCTCTCTCTCTCTCTCTCTTTCTTTCTATCTTTCTCTGCTCTTAAAACTCATATTTGATTCAATAGATTGTCAAAGAATTTTAATATTTTAATAATTCTTTAGGCATTAGAGACTATTATAAAAGACTTTTTTCATCACTTATTTATTATCAGTATTTCATAAATCATTTTCTAATCAATATATTCTAGTGAAAGGGAATTAAATAAATATATATAACAAAACTCTCTCTCTCTCTCTCTCTCTCTCTTTCTTTCTATCTTTCTCTGCTCTTAAAACTCATATTTGATTCAATAGATTGTCAAAGAATTTTAATATTTTAATAATTCTTTAGGCATTAGAGACTATTATTAAGATATTCTCATTTATACAATAAACCAATAGTTTTGCATTAAGAATATTCTGTTCAATACTTTCGCGAATATGAATGCATTTTTGATAACTTGATTCTTAAAGAAATAGGTTTTTAAAGTACGGATAGAGATGTGATTGAGTGGATGTTGAAAGAGAGCAAAGAGGAGAGAGAGAGAGAGAGAGAGAGAGAGAGCAGTTTTATATGCCCTAAAAATATTTTACAAATTCTTAATATAAGTTTAATATAATATTATCAAAAGACTTATACGTCAGACAGTCTTCTCTCGACTCGAATTAATAAATGAAATTTTTATGATTTTTTCACTACTATTTTAAGTGCATATTTCATGAAAACTTATATTACTTACATGTTATTAATAAAAGCCTTTAGAATATTATTTTACGTTACTTTCTCAACATTTCAGCCCTAAAGCAATGTTAAGTATTAAGGAGTCTCTCTCTCTCTCTCTCTCTCACACATAATTATGTCCAATATTTATGTTCACAAAATACAACCCGTATTTATTTGTATTGTAAAATATTTGTAGTGTTTTGTTGGTCACAAACGTAACAACAAATGCAAACAAATTTCTTTTAAACACATTCACTATAAGTAATACTGTATTTCCTTTCCGTGTATTTGAAAATACAAAGTAAACACAAAAACAAAATATTATTTTTTATAAAAATTGATTTATAAGACATAAGACAAAGAGCGGAGAAAATTTTTGTTTTACAAGAAAATAGTGTTTACTTTTGATAAAATCGTATCTCTTTTTGCCTGAAATATATTGAGTAAAATAGAGTTTTCTTTATATTTTTGCCACAATATTATGGTTTAATAAAAATATTTTTAATAATAGCTTTTAATGTCTAAAAACCCTCTTAAGTAACTTTTTACGAATTTCAATTTTTAGGATTTATTAAACTATAAAATCAATGATAAATTGAGTTGTAATTCATTGCAAAACAATTATTGTCTCTAATGTACAGAATATTTCAATTTTAACATAAATGCCTATTTTATAGTTATCTCTCTTTTTCTCTGCATTTCAAACAGCATTTTTCAAACACTTTGTATTATTTATATTTTTATATTAAAACTCTTGTTTTCTGCAGTGAAATATTTTTCTGACAGCAAAATAAAAGTATTTTATATTTCATATTACTTTCAACCAAACAATTGAAAAATGCTGTTTGAAATGCAGAGAAAAAGAGAGATAACTATAAAATAGGCATTTATGTTAAAATTGAAATATTCTGTACATTAGAGACAATAATTGTTTTGCAATGAATTACAACTCAATTTATCATTGATTTTATAGTTTAATAAATCCTAAAAATTGAAATTCGTAAAAAGTTACTTAAGAGGGTTTTTAGACATTAAAAGCTATTATTAAAAATATTTTTATTAAACCATAATATTGTGGCAAAAATATAAAGAAAACTCTATTTTACTCAATATATTTCAGGCAAAAAGAGATACGATTTTATCAAAAGTAAACACTATTTTCTTGTAAAACAAAAATTTTCTCCGCTCTTTGTCTTATGTCTTATAAATCAATTTTTATAAAAAATAATATTTTGTTTTTGTGTTTACTTTGTATTTTCAAATACACGGAAAGGAAATACAGTATTACTTATAGTGAATGTGTTTAAAAGAAATTTGTTTGCATTTGTTGTTACGTTTGTGACCAACAAAACACTACAAATATTTTACAATACAAATAAATACGGGTTGTATTTTGTGAACATAAATATTGGACATAATTATGTGTGAGAGAGAGAGAGAGAGAGAGA